ATGCAACATATACCTACTGGACAGTTGCGTGAATTATAATACATGTTTTTATCTATCTCTCTCTCAATAAAAAACGTACAACGTGTGCAAATTAAGGAATTAAATGAGTTATTATAAGCATATTTCATTTCTCTCTCCTAATCAATCCCATAAAAAGGGGATAGAATTTGAAAGGATATGGTAAATGATTTAGGCATTAATATAGATAAATAAGGTGTTTTAGGTAAAGACACAATTATTAATATAAATATGCTGGAGTTGTAAATAAATTAAAATCACAAAGCATGCGTGAAAATTTCCCAAAAAAATGTATGTCATTTAAATCACTTCACAATCAACTAATTTTAAATTTAAAAGTTTGAACCGGTGAACCATTCGAACTGGTCCTAGTTCACCAGTTCAACCGGTTTTGGGCCGGTTCGAGCGGTTTTTTACCCATTCTCAAGCTGGGCGTTTTGATGCAACAAACCTGATCGAAATGAAGGCCAGTTTCCGGTCCAATCCAATTCTCAGAACTATGGGAAAAATATATATTTATGGGAAACAAAAAGTAAGGGAATTTTGGGTTATAAGAGGATAGTATAATGGTTAACATAAAGTTTCACATAATACACACGTCGTAAGTGTTTTATGCATCACATTAACTTTCAAATCAATAATTACTCTTGCACATCATTTATGTCAATATAACATTATTGTGTTGTGAATTTTAAAATTGTTAGGGGGTGCTTGTTTACAAAGAACGGCAATTCATACTTAAAATCTAAGTAACTTTAACTTCACTAATTATCTTTAATATTATCAATATCCTCCCTATATATAATTCCCGAATGCGCTGAGCCTACGTGGCTGCTTCTAGTGCTTCGAAATCCTACTTGGCGAAGAATCATGCTTCGTAATTAGGTTTGGACAAATAATATTGATATATTAATAATTAATAATCTAGGTTTGGACATTCCAAAAATATTATTTAGCTAACTTAAGTATTTTAATATCACTTGTACTAATATAACCCTTTAATTCCTTGTAATTTTACATTGTGAGACACTAAGTGATTAATATATCCCTGACTTTTGATTTGTTTCCTTCAATTAGCTATTGAATTGTGAATTTATTTTAAAAGGTGATAACTTTTATATTTCTTATCGGTTTTACATATATAATATATCAAATTAATCAACTTTTGATGATCTTCAATTTGACATCCATATTGTATATATTGAAATAAATAAATTATATTTATTTTATAATAATAATAAATAATTATATTTATTAAAATTCATTAGAAAAATAAATTATTTCTCAATTGATATATTTATGTTTAATGTAGTTATATGTTGTAAGTTAAAAAAATTATTATAATATAACACAGGTAAGTCTCACAAATAAAAAGTGTCATACTAATATAATAATATATATTTTTTATAAAATGTATTTAAATTTTTAAATATTTGTTCTCATTAATTTTAGATTTTAAGAAAACAAATTAGCAAGCACCCGTGTAATACACGGAAGTTGTACTAGTAGTTAAATAATATTATTCAATCATTCTTACACATCACGTCAATTTTAATTTACTATTAATCCACCCACATAATTTTAGCTAACAAAATTACTTCAATAATCTCTCCTACTTTTACATCAAGTCAACTTTAATTTTTTTTTTAAATATATTTAATATAAATTCAAAATTCCACAAACTAGGCTTTCTTGGATACCAAACATTTCATTCCGTACTCAATTCAACTCAAAACATAACTAAACTTTAACTCAACCCAACTACCTTCAATATTATCAATGTAATTAAATAATAAATTAATAATTCTTACATATCACATCAACTTTAATTAACTATTCATCTACTTACATAATTTTAACTAACCGTCACTTCTCGTTATCTTTCTCTTATTTTTATATCAAATCAACTTTAGTTATTTTTCAAATACTTTTTTATCATGAACTCAAAACCCTACTAAGAACTAATCATACGACAAATTCGCAAATCAACACTGGTTAATAAAAAAATCTATTTTGAGCAAAAATTATGTATCCAAGCATGCCCTAAACATACCAACTTTTTTCAAATTTTAACTTTGGTTAACCAAAAAAATTTGCTTTGAGCAAAAATTTTTGTATCCAAGCACGTCCTTAAATTTTTCAAGTTACCAAGTCTCAGAGAAGGTTTTCTTTCTAAATAGAGATTAGTGGATGGGCAAGAGATAACGTACCCTTTGCGTCTTTCATCAAACTCTCGTACAGTTCAAAGGACCATTAGTAGCAGCAGGCAATAAATGTATCGATTTTCTTTGTCGGCATTACCAAACGTACAGTCATCACCATAACTCAAGTACGAAGAAAGCAGGTCTGTAATTACGACTAAAAATCTTATCAAGATTAAGATGTATTGGTTACACAAACAAAACCAACCATTGCATTCAGTCCGATGACATAAATTGAAGGTCGGATGAAAAATTATTCAACTTCCTGCAAGTAATCTTCAATTTCAGACGGAGTAAGAATCCTGCAAACAGAGTTCATGAACCATTAACATTTTGCTAGTTTACACGTCGTATATGATCAAAATTGTAATACCACTCACTTGAATACTTTGTCATTGCCAATCACACCAATCTCGATATTTTTGCCTGATATCTGTCCTTCAAATCTGTAGAAATAGAGCAGCGACCATGGGATGAATAAAAAATGTATAAGATGATCACCATAACTACATCGAAAAATCTAATAATACCAAGAATAACAAATTGTTTGCTTTCAGTACAACAAAAGATCCCATCAGCACCTTGAAATGTGTTTCTCTTCGGTTAAAAAGAGATTTACAATCAGAGATACATCTGTAAAATTGAATGCAAAGGCAGACAGTATATTTTGAAAATATGCTATAAACAGTGGTCTTTTTAGCATGATAGAAATATTGAGTTCTGCAAATGAAGGTTTTGAGTGGGTGTTCAAAATGTCATTCCTGCATCACTAAGGAAAATGTCATCTCCAAACCAATTCGAGTATCAACGGTACTAAGGAATCATATTTCCTTACCCCTCCTTAAGTGTCAAAATTGCTGTATGCACAGCATCGTCAAGTTCCATATCTTCCGTGTACCTGCAAAAAATTTCAAAACCAGACCACCGACTTAACTATAACAGATATACACGTACTCGGGAACAAAAAGCACACAAAAATGTTAAACTAAACTCAGAAGATAGATCAAGCCTATTTCTCCTTGTTGGACAAGAAAAATGAATTAGGTTACAGGGAACAAGGTGGAACATATAAAATGAGTGTGCAGTTAAAGAAGTATTTGTTAGTCTGTATTTTGCCATGGAAAATCAGTCAAACCAACTAGCAGAAAGGCAGTACCAAATCTATACACACTCGGACGATGATCATCCTATAAAGGTAACATACAGAAACCAGAATTTATACTAGAAAATTAAGAGACTCGGAGCATGACAAACAAGAAAAGTCTCAATAAGTACATAGTGGTGATTATGCTAATAGGAACTATCAATTAACTAATTATAGTATTAAAAGAGAAAACAATTCACCTCTTCTCCAGAAATGTCTTTGCGTTGGATACATTCTTTCCCATAGCTGAAGCCTTCCAAGAAAAGTATGAACCCGATGGATCCACCTAGAGTAGAGAAGAGTAACATAAGGAGATAATTACCATCTGGTAAATATGCCATTTAGCAGTGAAGATTTCAGTATCACCTACCATAGGCGAAAAAACAAATCAGAACATGAAGCACAAAAGTAAGAGTCACGTGCAGAAACCAAAATGCTGCAGAGCATATATGAAGAGGATATGCCAAAATAGACAAATCAAACCACCACCAAATGAAAAAGGAGGAAAAACATGAAAACCAAAAGACGCAATAAGGGAAAGATAAATAACAAAAGTGACAATGGATAAGCTTTCGTAAGCCAAGTGGACCAAAAATCAAAGACCTATGCCAGAACAAGACACGAGAAATATACCTGGTACAGCTGTGGACCCTTGTCATCATATCCCGCAACCAAAAGCGATACACCAAATGGCCTCACGCCACTATCCGAAAAGCCAAAAGTTTAGAGAAGACATGCATGTTGGGATATAGATACAACATTTAGCGCTTAAATCTTTATGTATGCATAAGAAATCAACTGATAAATTATTATCATGATTTTTGTAATTTTGTTCCTCAAAGTAACTATTACATTGGGCAGATAATTCAAGTTTAAACAAGTTGGCAACTAAACAATGAACTTAATTTTCCATGAGTCGAGGCATGATCTACGTAAAATAGTGCAGTATCAACTATTTCATCTTTGAGATCCACAGAAACTTTCCTCGAGGAAATTCAAATCAAGTGTTTAAAACAAAACTTACTAGTATATAAAACTCTGCATGTAATAACTTCATGGATACTGGATACCACCAAATCATG